GTCAAGGAAATAATATTGGTCAAGGTTACTTTTTCATGATTAACAAGACTCCGTGAAGCTTAGTGATTATTCAAAATAATACTCACTCAAGCTCTATTATTATTCATGATAAGAAAACGTTGAATCAAGAAAGGAACAAAATAAGTGAAGAGGTTAGTGGTTCAACATTTGTCAAGAGTAGAGGAAAGAAGATGAGAACTAGATTGAGATCCGAGTATGTTTAACAAATAGATTCCTAATTACCAACTTCGGTTCTAGTTAGTGGTTCGGAATCTATCGGAGGTAGAGGAAGGGGAGGAGAATTGGATTAGGATCTAAGTCTATTCATGAAATAGATTCCCAATCACCAACTTCGGTTTCAGCTAGTAGTTCAAGATCTACCGGATATAGAGGAAGGGAGAGGAGAATTGGATTGAGATCCGAGTTTGATCAAGAAACAGATTCTCAATCACCAATTTTAGCTCGAGGCAATGCTTCAAGATTTGTTAGAGGTAGGGGAAAGAGTTCTAAAAAAGATTGTTGGATATGGCCTTTATGTTGAGCAAGAAACTAAATTTTTTTTTATATGGATGTAAGTTTTGGTTTTTATTTTCTTTTTCTTTGTTGGAGGTGTACTAAGTTAAGGAATTTATTTTTAACATGAAAATAATGGTGAGAAAGTAATCTCTTTTCCTCAAAGGCCAAAGAAGAAATGATGGAATTTGTGATATAGATGAAGGCCATTGGTTGTTTTGATATTAGTCTTTATGGAAATGATGGAGTCGAAGATTTTGATTGACATGTGGTCTTCAAAATTTACGGAATACGAGTTGAAGATGTTTGATTTTTGTTGTTGTTTACATAGGATTTTGGAATGATTTATGCTATTTTTGCAGATATGTGTAACATTATAAATGTTATTTTCATGCTTTTTTTTTTTTATTTATGTTAAACATGAGGATGATGTTATGGAACAAAGTTATTGAATCTAGTGTTTTTAAGCTAGTGTTTCAAGTCCATAAGTTCCTCCATATATACCATAACTCCTCCATATTTATTGTAATCATACAAAAAGAGATTGCAATCGCATCAAAGTAGCTCAATACTCTTTAGCAAAAGTTAGGTATTAGCACTTGATGAAAAGCAAGTTTGACTTGATGAGGTCCTTGTGGAGATTGAAAATCGACTAACCTTGATGTTTTTGATCATCTTATTTTAGTTTAATAATTATATAAGTCTCTTTCTCCAAAAGAAATAACAAAAAAATCCAGAAAAGACATCAAAGTACAAAAATAAGAAAAAACAAGTAGCATGTTAGCATGTCCAATGTCAACTGTAATACTAATAATAAAACAAGAATGACAGTAAAAAAAACACATGAGATATACACTACCGACTACGACATAGGAGGGTTGACGGGAAGGAGGAACTAAGAAGCACACATTTGATCAAAATTAGGTTACAATTAGACCATATTGGGCAAGAAATTATATATGTAATAAGTTCACCATTTGATCAAAATCATATTGCAATTGTAACATGGTTGTAATTGTAACAACCAAAGCTAAGCTATACAAGGAATTACATTTGTAATAACTACCTCTAACATTATATCTTTACTATCCTACCTAATCACAAATCAACAACATCACAATAAACATTAGGCATAATAGAATTTCTAATTATTATCTAAAAACAACTTTATCATATGCATCTCTCGCATTCTTTCGAGTTTTTTTTTTGAAACATCCACCTCTTCTAACACATAGTTCTTTTCAACTCTAAGTGTTGTAATTTTTATAACTAGTTGTTCCTTCTCAAAATACCAATTCATCTTCAATTCTCGATTATCGACTTTCAATTCTATAATTTTACTACTAAAACTCGATTTTTTCTCATCAACTGTCTATTTTTAGCAAACGATTGTCTTTGTCTTTCTCTTTCTCTCATGCCTAAAATCACATTCTTTGCTTTACCCAATATAAATGGTTCACACCATTTATAGAAATCACATTCAACATCTTTCCTCTAATAATTTGCAGCACGAATTGGACAACATAAAAACTTCACAACTGGGTGAAGATAACTCCATGATGTCCATTTTATAACTCGTTCTCTACACTTGCAAAATAGAGGACCCCCTTCATAATCATTCTCTCGGTCTTTGGGGCGTTGCAGCACGGATTGGAATAATTCTTCCAATTCTTGACTCATTGGATGAACTTGGAGAATCCATTTTCTTGTGGCATTTCAAAACAAAAATATCAATTATAAGTCACATAAACAAATAACACAAAATTTAAAAGAATTAAAATAAAATAAATTATTAACATAATTACAACTAGAGGAACGAATCAAACCCGAAAAGAGAAGGACTCCATTCTAAGGGTCGGATAATGCGAGCAAAAGAGAAGTAAAATGATAGAGCTTTGATCGATTAGTCATAATTGAAGAAGAGATACTTTGATCGATCAGCCATAATTGAAGAGATTAATGTTTAGGTATGAGAGAAAGGGCTTGGCGAAAGATTTGAAGATTTTAGGTCCGTTTATATATATATCACGGACAATTCTTTGACTAATTTTGGGCATTAGAAAGTTAAGTTAGATTTAGAGATTTAAGGAAAATTTGATCCTAGAGAAGAGATATAAGGGTTTTTTAAATAAGGGCAATTTGAGGTTTTTCTTTTTTGGTTTCATTTAAATATTTACTAATATTACAAATTGAGATGGAAAAAAAAAATTAAACGTGTCGACATCCCGTTATTCTTAGGTTTTGTTTGTTTGAAGGAAAACAACTTTCAATAGGAAAAACGATTCTAGAGAAGCTATTTTTTATTTAAAAAAAATATATATTTTGACGTTTGGCAATTATGGAAAAACTGCTGAAAATATAGTCTAGCATTTATTTGATACGAAAAACTAAAATACAAAAATGAAGTCGTGGTTGTTATATCAATAAATTTTAAGGAAACTTCAACAAGGCATATTCATAATCTCACAATATAAAATGCATTTAGAAAAATTTAATAAATTCTTTTAAATACCGACTTTAAGATTTAAATTCAAAAAATAAAGAAATAAAGTACATATTTTTAATCATCAAACCAATTTATCAAAATTACTTGGGATAAAATCAAGTCAATATTTACATTTAGTAAAAAAAAATTCTAAGTAATTTTAGCATTGTTATTTGGGTAACTCAATTAAGAATTTTTTTTTTTTCAAAAATTGAACTGATAATTTAGTTTTAAAAATTATTAGTTATAATTTGTAGATAATTATTATTTAGTTCCAAAAGATTAATGTTGGAATAATTTGTAACTAATTATTGACTACAATTACCAACAAAATTTTACAATTGATTAAAATTAGTTACAAATTATTGATTTAGTTGTAAATCAATTGTGCTGAAAAAATAATATATTTATTAATGAATTAATTAGTTTCAAAATTTTCATAAATGATTACGGCTTTGTAATAATCATTTCAATCATTAAATATAGTTTAGGTGGTATTTGGGATAATGGTAAAAAAAATAGAGATAAATTATTAAAATATTTATTATAAAAATAATATTGATGTGTAAAAATGGTTTTTAAAAATATTTAATATATTTATAAATTGAAAAATCAAACGTTAGTAGAGATAGAAAAAAATAATTAAATAATTAATAACAATTGATAAGAAATAATTAAAAATTAATTTGATATATTTTAAATAAAAAGGAGATAGAGAAAAAAATTATTAAAATATATTGAGAGAGATGAGAGTAGCACGAGAGTAAGATAGCTCGTGAGAGATAGAGAAAATGTTTTCCTCTTTTTTAACTAGGAAAACACTTTTTCAAAAATAACTTATCAAATTCCATTAACTTTTTTCCTAAACACAAAACAAACATCAAAAAATGAAAAAAAAAAAATGGAGAAAACAAGTTTTTAGAACGTATTTTTTCGAAACAAACACGGGTTTGGTGCCAAAAAATGTGATCGAGAGAAACCATTAAGAAATTTGAAATAGTAGAGGGATATCCTAGACCTTTAATCCTTTCTTAATTCACCCTTTTTAATTAAAATAAAAATTTATCTATTTTTTTTTAATCTTCTATTCTTCTGTTAATTTAAAGGTAAGATGAACAATACTCTTGTTTTCTATGTTACAAAATTTATAATTAGTAAATCTGTTTTTTTCTTTTTTTGTCTTAAGAAATAAATTATGCTGTAACGTCCTTATTTTTTTTCTTTTCTTAATAGATGACCCTAAATACAAGTTTTTCAGCTTTTTAGAGTATGTATATTTCCATGAAAATAATATTCATTTTGAATGCATAAACTTATTTTTAATAATTTTTATTTTTTTCTAAAATATGAAAAATTCTGCATAAATAAACACAAATGACTTTTTGGAAGAACAAAAAATTCAGGCACATGATAATACTCCATATATATATATATATAAAGAATAAACTTTTTTTATAATTTTTATTTTCCAAAATATGGAAAATTCTTCATAAATAAACACAAATGACTTTTTAGGAGAAAAAAGAATTCAGGCCCATGAAAATACTCCAGAAAAAATATGCTCCATATCTGAGGCCCATAAAAAAAGAGTAAATTATAAATTAGTCTCTCTTGTTTTTTTGAAAAGAAATTGAATAGTCCTTTTAGTTTCAATTACTAATTACTTAGTCCCTTAAATTTATTTGTAATTTAGTTCCTTATATATATATATTTCTTAATAAATAGAAAAAGAAAAAGAATAAATAAAAAATATGGAAAGATTGGAGAGAAAAGAAAGCGTTTTTTTGAAATAAAATAATATTAAATTAATTATAATCAATACTGGTTAAGTGACAAATTAATTAGTTTTTAAAATAAAAAGAACTATTTAATTTAGTTTACAAAACAAAAGGGACTAATTTATAATTTACTCTAAAAACGAGGGGATAAAAAAGAAGCAAAAAACCGGAAGACATAAAAAATATTACAGGTTTTAGCGCCACAAGCTCACTCATCCACTTCAATGGTGCTTCAAACTTTCCGCCTTCCATCTTTTGCAGGTAACCCTTTTCTCTCCTTTCTCCAATTCATGCCTACATATTTATTATTTATTGGCTATTCATTGAAAGAAAGTATCTTTACAAGAAAAAAGAAAGTGGGCTGATTTTTATAAGTGGTGGGTTGTGAATCATTAGCTGAATTTGGAATGTTATAATGTTTAAATTCAACAAATTTGATTGTTTCTATACACACACACACACACACACACACACACACTTCCTTTGTATGTTTCTTTCAACTTGTTATATTAAATCCTGGGCCAGTTATAAATTTTCTTCTCATTGAATTGTGGAAGTTGAAATATATGAATTATTTAGGATAATAACAGGTTTTTTTTTGTTGGTTTGTTCAATTATTGAAATTTTTTATTATTAATGGCTGATCAATGTAAATGTTTTTGTAGAAAAGAATGGTGAGCTTGATCACTTAAATATCATGTTTTGTAATTCATTGTTAAGATTATTACTAGATAAAAATCTCGATAAGCTATTATTTCATCTCTTATAGGCTATAGCCTTGGTACTTTAGTTATTCATGGAAAGTTTTTGTGGCATTTGATGTTTTAATGCATGATATTTCTCAACAAGAAAAAAAAAAAACTTTTGTTGAGAGGGAACATTTTATTTTTAGTGTGTCATTATATATACAAGCGGAGGAGCTATAAAGCTCTTGGTTTTGGTGCTCAATCTGCAGGGTGCAGATATTTTCAGAGGCATTCAATTTTGCAAAGGCAGTTCTGCGCAAAGAGTATTGGAATTTCTCTTTCTTGCTCGTATAGTTTGGATAAGGATCCAAATCCACCTATTGAAAAGTTAATTGATGCACGAGTGATATATAGCGTAGCTCCTGCCATGGGTCATAACCAGGTATCTTCAGCTGACCTGTGCTTTTATATGATGGATGTTCTAATGTGTTATGGAGTCTTTACTCCTGTGAAGTTTTCATTCTGGGGCATGCTTGTCTTGTTTCTGTTCTGGGCATCAGATACATGAATTCTTTCTATGGATTGTGTTCTGATCATTTCAATCTTTAGAATCTTTTCTTATTCCATCACAAAATGAGAAAATCAAACCTGATTTAAGGGGCTTTTGTCCATACTTTTCCTTGGGTTCTGAAACTTAAGTAAACTTGGCTTGAGCGAGCTCGGTATATTTCCTTGACTCCAAATGTATTTATGCGCCTGTTGACTAAGTGCGGGATTTTTTAGAGGTTGATCTTTCGTTTATTGGCTACCTATTGAGGAGCATTTGGTTTTTTCTTAGTGTGCTGATTCCAATTACAAATTCAAATTTATCTTCAATTGTATAAGAGCATACCTAGTCAGGATAGGATTGGAAGTTCTTGAAATTAGTACAAATTTATGACATCAGAAGAAATGACAACTGCATTCCCTATTAAAAAGTTTGCATACTGTATAGGGACTAACGAATTGCAGCTGACAGGGTAACTTCTTGATTCACCATGTTCTTCTTTGCAATTCATGCATTGGTTCTCTTTCTAGGTGTTCCTTTTCTTCTTTTTACTTAGTTCATAGATCTTCCCCCATTTGTTTTCATTAACAGGAGGCACATCCAGAATCCCATCTTAGAGTTCCTGCTATTGTGAGTGCTCTTGAAAAGACAGAGCTCACTTCAAAGGTAGCAGTTGGATATTTTTGCTCGTACATGTTTTCCATGCATTTGAATATTATGCAGTGCTCTTTTTTATGATTTTCAATCTATGCTTACATTGTCTTCTTATCTTGTTACTTATATTTTTTTCCTAATAGAACTGTAAAAATTGCCATTATCAAAGTTTTTGTCTTTTATCCCCAAAAGTTAATAAATGGCCATATAGCTTTCCTCTGATAACTATGCTATGTTGAAAAAAAGAGTGTTCCAGCTTGCTGATATATATAGAAGAAAATTTCTCTAAAATCATTGGTATACTGTGAATAGAATTAAGGTTTCTTCAAAAATGACTTGTCTACAGAATTGAGGAAAGGAATCAGCCTATGAATATATTTATATTCTCCTTTATTCATTGTGCAAATGTCATTTTATCTTAATTATTTAAATTTCCTTGCATAGTAAGAATTTTTGGGAAGGTGCTATACCCACCTATAGTATATAAGCTTTTTCCTCACAGATTATATATTCTCTTTTCATGTGTCATGGATCATTTTGCTTCCATTTTTCCAGCATAAAAACTGCTGTTGATCTTACTACTTAACAATAGTAATTTTTAACGTCAGCAACACCCTGATGGAGGGACCAATTTATGGTGCAAAGGTAAAAAATTCTGGACTTCCAAGAACAACTTTGTTAGAGAGTAGAAAGAGCTTGGGGTAAAATTGGGTTATGAACTGATGAAAAACTGGCTTATATTTAAAGGATTAATCTGTTAGTTATTTGAGATGAAATCATGTAAATTTTGAAAAGTTCAATCTTTCTTTATGCTTGTTGACTGATACAATTGAGAATGAAAATATTTATTCTTCAGTTATTCTTAGTGATTAGCATCTTCTTTTTCCATCTTCAGTTTCGTGGTTCTGAGATTATTGAACTTCAAAATTTCAAGCCTGCTTCAGTGGATGACATTGCAAATGTTCATGCCAAAGCTTATGTTGCAGGCCTAGAGAAGGTAGTTTTACCTTGGCCGACTTCTCTCTCTGCTGCTTTTTTCCTCCTTTGTTCTTTGTCTTGGGAATTCTTAGGATCGTAAAAGCATGAAAACATTTTGTAAAGGTGAAAGAAACTGGCCCATAGATAACCCCTTCTGTTTTAGTGTTTATTTCTTTTCCATATAACTATAAGTGGTGGTGATCTCTCTCTCCATCTGTGTTTGTGTCTCTGTCTGTCTGTCTTGTAGGATAAACATGGCTACTGCTATGACTAATTCTATTGATTGTTCTTAGGCTATGGATCAAGCTTCAGAACAGGGCATTATCTATATCGATGGGTCTGGACCAACATATGCTACTGCCACTGTGAGTGCATTTGTTTAGGTGTTTCTGCTTTTCTGTTTTTGTACTTGTGAATACATGCAGATATTAGAGAGTAGATGCATTTTTTTGTTTCATTTCTTTTGTCTATATCACTGATGGCTTTCTGTTTCTTATGGTAGAAATAGGATATGTAGTGGTATAATATGTTAATTTTTTTCAAAAAATAATATCAATGACTGGATATGAGTTCAATCATTGGATTGTTTAACCACATCCCACAATTAAAATTATGGGGGAGAGTTTTGGTGGTTCAATATGTGTTCCTCATTCCATTCTCAATATGTGCTATTTATTCTCTTTCTTATCAAGATATTACAATGCAGACGTTCCAGGAGTCACTTATGGCAGCTGGAGCAGGATTAGCCTTGGTTGATTCAGTGGTGATGTCTCAACCTGGAATGTTAGTCTCTTTATGATAATTTTCTCTATTTTTTTTTTTTTTTTGGTGTGACAAAATACTCACTGAAATCCAGCTTAGTTGCCCCTAAATGGTAAACCAGTATTTATATGTTGATATTGAAATTTATTGGTTTTTGAAAAAAGAGTCTACTTGTAAATGATTTGGGATCATCAGATAGCAAAGCTCCTCTCTTGACTAACTGTTAGGCAACATCTTCTGTTGTATTTCAGGTTGCAGCATCTAAGAACAGCCAGAATTCACCCACAGGATTTGCTTTGATCAGACCTCCAGGGCATCATGCTATTCCAAAAGGGCCCATGGGCTTTTGTGTTTTTGGCAATGTGGCCATTGCAGCTCGTCATGCTCAACGTGTGCATGGATTGAAACGAGTCTTTATCATTGATTTTGATGTTCACCATGGGAATGGGACAAATGATGCATTTTATGATGATCCAGATGTATTCTTCCTGTCCACTCACCAAGTAAGCTATAATTTCTTTGCGCTTAATACATTTTTCTCTTGCTACTTGCATGCAATTTTTGTATCTTGCTAAATAATCTCAATGTCTTCTTCCTATCTTAAAAATTATAATGTCTCATTTGGAGCATGAATTATATTTAAACACAGATACAGAACGTCAGATGTTGTGAAGAAAAAAATCTAGCCAAGTGGATATCTTAAGCATATGTTTGATTCGAATAAGTGTTTGCTTCCTTGTTGAAGAACTGTAGATAATCAAGTGAGTGTGGAATTAAACTGTGTGCTAGTTTCTTCTACAAAAATTCAAATTGCCATATTGGTTATGTGTAGTAGCTTCAGTAGGAATTTTAAACAGCAATAATTGCACATGGTATTGCTCTAAGTGTTCAGCATGCCCCATTTTCAAGAGAAAAGGTGTCATAAAATTTTAGCTTACAAAGTATGTAACGCCAATCCGATTCAGTTGTCATTTAGGTTTGAATTCATCTTCCCCCAGAAAAAAACTGAGGTTTGACTTTCTTTTCCACTAGGAAAACTGATGTGATATCAAAGCTTCTTCTTTTTCTTTTGTTTTCCCTTTTCTCTTCTGACATTTATGTGTGTGTTTATCTTTTCACTTTCGGTAATTAGCTTTATCTTAGAGGTAGAAATTTGAGGACTTAAAAGTAATGAAAGTCATCTTGTCTTTACAGGAGGTCCTTTTTATACTGCTCTATTGACCAACTAATATTCTTTTACCCCCTATGTCCTGATCTTTTGTCAGTCTTTTCTTGTACTACTTGGGATCACACACTTCATGCATTTTTTCTGTGCTCTATAAATAAGGACAATTTGGTTAATTAACAACTATTGATTGTTAAACGTGAAAGAGAATATCAGGAGAAATATTTTGTTCAGTGACAAAATGGAAAGGCAAACATATAATTCTAGGTTAAGGGAGTAATATGCATATCAAAAGACATGCTAAAAAGCGAGAAATATGTGATGAAATGGCCTATATTATCCTTAGCCAATGCAGCATGATACGTGTACTTGCAGCATGTTGTTGCAATTTGCCTGCCAAATGCCAATATTCCAGTAGGATATCTGCTGCTGGATACGCACATATCTAAGTATAAATGTAGAATGTGCCACTAACCACTTAATGCTATTTTTCTCTTAATGAGCTCAGGATGGAAGCTATCCAGGTACTGGTAAAATTGACGAGTTAGGTCATGGAGATGGTGAAGGTACAACTTTAAATCTGCCTCTACCAGGAGGCTCAGGTGATATTGCCATGAGGACTGTATTTGATGAAGTAATTGTACCAAGTGCTCAAAGGTTCAAGCCAGATATTATTCTTGTTTCTGCTGGGTGAGTTGCCACCCTTTCCCATGGAATTCAATACATCCTCAAAAGAAAATAACTTTGCTACATGTTTCCCTCTTTTACTGAAAACTCAATGATGCCACGTCGTATGCGTCTAGGAATTGCATGGATATTTTACTCATTTGCTCCTTTCTGTGCTATCTAAGATAAAATCATCTTGGTGTTTTGCTGCAGTTTAAATGTTAAAGTGCATGCTTTTGTGCATTGTTTGCACCTGCATCAGTTCGTAGTGACTGTTTGGCCAAGTCTTTCAACAGTTTTATTGAATTCCAAATATCAAATTTGGTTGAACTAAATAGTTTGGACAAAGTTTTAATTTCTCATATTGAGGCTTGGAACTGTGTTATTCTAATATTAAAACGAATACACTGAACAAAGCATTCTTTGCAAATATTTTTCCAGGTATGACGGTCATGTTCTGGATCCACTGGCAAGTCTTCAATTTACAACAGGAACATACTACATGCTTGCCTCTGATATTAAACAACTGGCGAAAGATCTATGTGGTGGCCGTTGCGTGTTCTTCTTGGAGGGAGGATACAACCTTGATTCTCTTTCATATTCAGTGGCAGACTCCTTTCGTGCTTTCCTTGGGGAGAAGAGTTTGGCATCTGAGTTTGATAACCCTGCTATCCTATACGAAGAACCATCAACTAAGGTGAAGCAAGCGATTCAGAAAATTAAACACATACATTCCCTTTGAAGATGTCTAGGCATTACAATTGTGCCTAGAAGTAACTTTGCCAGCGGGCTAGTTGAGCATCTAAACCAGCAGCAGAGCTTTCATTAGTCAAATAGTGCAATCTCCAAGCTGGTTCTTTAGATGTTCTAGAAGGATAGCAATTTTCCTGTATAGTGTATAGGGCTTCTCTTCTCTATTGTTTGTATCAATTACAAGCATTAGCTAGCAAAGTTATACCCTGCAAAAACAGATTAGAGTTCATATTTGGATGAATAGTTTTTTCCATCCCATTTGTGCTTTTTCTGGACCGAATATAAATGGAATAATTTCTTGCCCTTGATTTACAATCATCCAATCAAACGAGACAAGCACTGCATTTCCTCTTTTCATCCCCTCCTCCCCTTTCCATCCCCCCTGAATATGGCTAACACAAAAAACAACATTAATCACTTTCACTAAGAAAGTATCATCTAGCAACGTATTGTTACTTTTGTTGTGAAGTGACTGGGACAGCACGCCATAGTACGAAGTTACCTACATGTTTTTGATCAACAACGTGACTGGCATTATAAAGCTCCAATATGTGGGGCTATCTCATTTTATTCATCGAAGTTGTGTAGCCGACCACGGTACGCTTATACTGTTGCCACTTTACGACCAACCCTTAATGAAGGAAACCTTTTTTTTTTTTTTTTTTTTGCCAATTGAAAAATCAGTTTAGGAATATGATCTGTGAAACTCATTCGAATCTCTTCCAGCTGAAAAAAATAAAAAATAAAAAAAGCATTCCCACTTTAAATGGTTTGTTTTTTAAATGACAAATCCATTTTAGGATTAATTTTGTAAATTCAGATTAAATTTCTTCCCAATTGAATATAAGAAAATTTCTTTTTTACTGTGGGGGTTAATTTCTTTTCTTTATTTGAAAGATCAATTAATGTAAGGGTTAATTTTCTTATACAAGATTAAATTTCTTTCCGCTCAAATTATTCACTTCCAACTTCATGTATTTATGAGGATATATATATATAACATAAAGGAGAAACTTATTTATCACGTCACACCAGCATTTCCCATGAGGTGGGGTAAAACAACTTTTAGTAAAGTTACCACTTTGGTTAATTGACGAGACACATTTTCCAAATCATTTTTGCGAAAAACCAAACGTGCAAGACTTAAAAAGGAAAAAGAAAAAAGGAGCAATCAATTTCGCATGTCAATGCTTAAACAGGAGATAATCCAAGAGACAGCTTAACATGAGAACCTAAAAATGCTAATTGAAGAGAAAAAACTATAATTATTTAAATAAATGATTTGGAATTCGATCATATATATATCTGTATAATTTTAAATGATTGTGTTCGGTTTATCCGTTCAATAAAATAACAAACAATTAAATAAATAATTTCTAATTTTATTTTTTATATATATAAAAATCTTTTTAAATGATTGTGTTCAATTTGTCTGGTCAATAAAATAACAAAAGATTAATTTGAATTTTTAAACTTAAGATATCATGAAGGAAAAAAAAAAAAAGCTTGACAGGATAAAGAAATGGTGAACAAATGTCAGAGAAAAGAGAAAGTTTCAAACACCTAACAAGAGGAGCTAAATTTCCACTACTTTCTATCCCTTTGAAAAAATCATGGTTGAGGGATAAGGTTGAAGTGCCATGATAATTAGGTTATGCAACACGTCTAATTAACTAGCAACTTCTTCTTGTACGTACTACTTAGAAGTGACATGCCAACTCCACCTTTAGTAAGTTGCTATCATGGGTTTGTGATAAAGATTTTAAAGCCATGAAATGATGCACAATTTGTTGAGTGGATATATAGTAATGTGATTGGAATATATTTTGCCTTTGTATTAAAATTGTCTCTTTCTTCATGTTTGGCCATAGATAATTAAACAAGCATTTTTATGAATTTTTTTTTTAATTCAATTATATATATGTCCTAGGCTAGGCTTAATAAATTTGTATTGATCATAGCTAGGTTTGTGAGAAGAAGTAATTCATCAATTTGCAAGGAATAATTTATCGTATAAAAAATTTCAATGGTTAATATTAGCTAATTTGATCGGGAGCTGAACTTGAATCTCATATTTTATTCCTTTTTTCATTCAATTCCATTGACTAAAATTAACTTCAATATGTCGACAAAGAATCCCATGCATGTCATTGTTGCTATAGAATAACGTTTTCTGAGGAGTATTATTGTGAACATATATATATATATATATATATATATATATATATATAGAGAGAGAGAGAGAGAGAGAGAGAGAGAGAGAGAGAGAGAGAGAGAGAGAGAGAGATATGAGTACGTAAATGAATATTTGTATTATAAGCTGCCTCTGAAGATTAGCTAAGGCTGATGTTCAATTTGTTAAGTTGCTTAAAACAACAACAAAGTAGCTAGCTAGCACACCCGGCCATCATGAAATACCACCCCAAGAATAAAAAGTTGGCACACCTGTCATATATATATTTTCTTTAGTTTAGTTTTATCAGAACAATATGATATACAATCTATAGCATGATGATGTGTATAAAAAGTTCTGTCAATCAACAAATTAGTTGAGGTGTCTTTCCGATTTTGTGATAATAAATAATTAAATAAATAATTTTTATATCTTGATTAAAGTGTAAATTGATGCAAAAATATATTTATCGTCAAATAAAAAAAATATTTTTTTAAATAAAAGTTTTATTCAATTATAGTTATTTCAATTGTTAGGCTCGTATTAAAACTTTATGAAATTTGAAGATTCATATTGAAAAATTCAAACTACAAGGATAAAAATGAAATAAAACCAAACTAATAATGACTCAAACTTCAAATTTAATGGAACTTAACTCAACGAATTATATGATATAATACAATAATAAAAATTAAAATTGGTATATATATGTTTTTTTAAGGTATTACACGCATGCACACACACAAGTATACTATTAATTTCCAGAACTCTGGTCAATCTAATTTGATTTCCAAAACTTTTTCTGGAACAGTAAGAATACAACACATCATCTAACAAAACCGTAACTTTTCATAAACACATCTACGGGAAGTAAAGCCATAAAATATATAACTCTCACAAACATACATAACCTAACTTTTCAAGATAAAAAGTATGGTCTTCATGAATTATTAGGTTTATATCCCAGTTCACAGATGTGGATTAACCGTTCCTCCCCAAATTTAAATTTTATATACCAACTACATGGCATCTAATGGTTTAAGGGCAAAATTTATCTTTATTTTATTATGATTTAGTAATTTCATGTTTTTAGTATTAAATTACGTATTTTGAATCTCAAATTATTGATTTTTAGATAATTTCTCTAATTGTTATTATTTATAACGAGTCAATTGAGTTAATCGTTATTTGGAATGTCAAAACGATGTCGTTTTGATATTCAATTGTTAATTATGTTTTCTTTTCCAAAAAAGCATTTAAAAATATTTTTAACACTCTTAATCTTGAAATTTTTTTTAACTTTTTTTCTTACAAAATATTATAAACATTTCATAAATTAAAATGAGCATAATTAAAAGTTGACCCCCTAATTTTATAAATTATAAATTATAAAAAGAAATTTATAATATTTTATAAAAAAAAAGTTTTAAAAAAGTTCAAAATTAGGGGGTTAATATATATATATATATATAATTTACAAAATATTTATAGGAATTTTTTTTAAAAAAAGTTCAAGATTAGGAAGGTTAAAAATATATTTAAAAAAAAACATAATTAACAACGGAATGTCAAAACGACGTCATTTTGACATTTCAAGTAATGGTCAATTAACCCGAGTTAACCATTACGTATAATGATAATTAGAGAAATTTGATCAATTTTATTAAAAAATCAATAGTTTAATATTCAAATTATGTAATTTTATACCGAAATCTTAAAATTATCAAAGCATAATAGAGTTAGGGTAAAATTTGTCATTAAATCACCGTCGAACTAAGAGTTCAATGAAACTTCTAAAGCTTTTGCCCATTCCATACTCATCTTTTATTATTATTATTATTATTATTATTATATATATATATATGCATGGTGTAATTGGATCTTGGATACTACATCCCTGGAATATGGTAATGTTATTCTTGTACGCAATTGGTCAATGAAGCAATATTGGTCTATTACCGAATTACAGCTTCTATTTTCTAGTATTCAATTCCTTTTTGGTGAAGAAAGCTACACAAGCAGTAACCTCATCATGATTATTGCGCAACAACATTAATCATCCTCATCTCTAGCTTTTGCGCGACAAAGATTTTATATCACACGAATCAAACCAACACTGCTTACCTCAACCAGATTATCATCTATTTATTGAAATACTTCTGTCACTACTGCCATCTTTTACAACGGCTATTGGTTTAAAAAAACAGATATCCAATCAAGAAAATTCTGGGTTTTGAATTAAAGAATGAATGTTTGTTTTATTTTTATAATGGTAAAGTAAAAATATATGGAAATTAGCTTTAATGTATTGAGATTAATTCAATTTCTGATTAGATTTGAAGTAAAAATCGTTGATGCATTAATTAAAAATTATTGTTTTATCGTTTTTGAAAAATTGATTTTTGAATGATGAAATGAAAAACAAACACTTTGATAGGAGTTGTATTTATGTGAAACCCCTTGAGTAATAATGAATTAGCAGAACAGCACATCGGCATCTGTCCTTAAAAAAAAGCAATAAAAATATCATGATGAAAAAGATAAACAGGAGAAGATGCTTTTCAAATCATTGGAATCCTATCGTCATCAAACGAAAACCGTACAGATGGGATCAAAATGGTCTATAGAATTTTTGTTTTATTACAACATAATTAAATCTATAAAACACCCCCTTATATAACTTGAGTTAATCGCTTGAGAAATAAACAGTAAATTAATAAATATCACTTAAATTAATTAAGGTTATCAAGTAGATCAACGTGCAATGCCTAATCCATTAATTTCGTCACTTAAATGGCTACCTTTGATAGTGAAAATGACCTAACAATGCCCAACTCACTATTGTCACCTTGGAATCGATTATCTAACGCAAAGCTAGGACTAAAAACAATCCATTTGCAGCCGCCTTTTCACCATTGACCCCTATCAACTCATTCATGAGTCATAGTGCAGCAACAATCAGTAATGTCTCTATCCTCACTCAATGCTACTATATATGTCAAGCCCTTGGGATATCCACATGCACCATCCCAGGCTCTAACTTGACCCAAAAAACCCACAGTTACAAAATATTTTGGCTTAATTGTGAGATATGGGAGATCATGGCTGCAGCAGTGGCAACCTTCCTCCTGGATTTATTTTCAGCCCAACTGATGAAGAACTTGTGCTCCACTTTCTTCATCGCAAGGCTTCCCTCTTACCTTGCCACCCTGACATCATTCCTGATCTTGCTCTTTATCCTCATGATCCTTGGCAACTTGAAGGTAATTAATTAATTTGTCTCTATTTTTCTTTTCTTTTCTATTTTTTTTTCCTTCAAGTTTTCCTCTTTCTTGTTTAATTCTGGCTCAAATGAAAGTTTATTTTCATTGTCTAACAAAGAGAAAAAGAAAGAGAAAGTTGCATATATAGAAAAGGTTGAAAGAAATATCTAATTACGTGTTGAATGAACAGGCAAGGCTTTGTCAAGTGGAAACCAGTGGTACTACTTTAGTCAAGTGATGGAGAACCAAGTAACAGAAAGTGGGTTTTGGAAGCCTTTAAATATTGAAGAACCAATATTTAGTAGCACTGGTAAGAAGGTTGGATTAAAGAAATACCTTGTGTATTGCCTTGGTTCTGATCAAGGTGTAGAGACAAATTGGATGATGCAGGAATATCATCTTTTCAGTTGTAAATCGAGTGGCACATCTTACAAGAGAAACAAAAAATCAGTAAGCAAAATCCTAAATTAATTTTAATTAAGATACAATCTGAATATTTACTAGTATAATCTCTAATAAATATATTTTTAATTGTTTGATATACATATATATACAGGATTGCCGTAAATGGATCCTGTGTCGAGTTTATCAGAAGGAGGGAAGTTGCATCCAAAATTTCGGCCATAGTACTGATGATGATGATGGAACAGAACTTTCATGTCTAGATGAGATGTTCTTATCAATGGATGATCTTGATGATATAAGTTTTCCACATTAGTTTCATTATTGTTTCATCTCTTGTGTAAACATGTACATCTTTAAATACGACGAGTCATATTCTACTCATATTAATTAGTTTTATACTAATTAGATATTAATGTTACGTCACTTCGGTAAAACAACAATTATATATGTAGAATTAACGATTCGTATGATATAACGTGAGTAGAAGTTTTATTTCGATGATCAATGTAAATCGAATCTATATATTGAGCGAAATCGTTTGATTTATATATATTTATTAATAAAATATTTAATAATCTTATCGTAAAAGTTTGTATTTAAATAATTGGGAGGCTCTTTCAAAACATTATCTAACTTATTTTATTTAAAAAATAAATTTTAAAATATGAAAAAATAAATAACAAATAATTGACATTATGTGTGAAGATATATAGTTAATTTCTAATAAAATTAATGATACGCGCACACACATAAAATAAATAAATAAATAACCACCTAAATTGGATGAAATATATTAAAGTCAATAGATTAAATAAAATAAAACTTGTGAATTCTTTTAACCGATTATTGATTTTTTTTTTAAAAAAAGAGTTAAACTATCTAAAACATACTTCACTCTCTCTCTCTCTCTCTCTCTCTCTCTCTCTCTCTCTTATATATATATATATATATATATATATATATATATATATATATTAAAAAATTAAAAACTCATTAAAAAGAAAAAGATAATTTATTGTATAAATTATAATAATATATTTTTTAAAAAATAAAACACTAACTTTCTAAAATTTCATATATTAAAAAACTAAATTTATTAACAAATAAAATTATATCAAAAAATTAATTTGATGAGAATTTTAATAAGAAACAAATAATTGAAGAAATAAATTTAAACAATAAAAGTAATATATATATATATATATATATATATATATTATTTTCCAATTGTACGCAAAACTAAAAAGATAACGATTTATTTTATATTCTTCACAATTTTTTTTTATTTGGCGAGACCTTTTTTCTTTCTTTTTCTTTTTCCTATATATAGATATATATATAGAGAGAGAGAGAGAGAGAGAGAGGAAAGAAAAGAAAAAGATGGAGGACATGTGCCTAGTTGGCTTGTGCAACCAGGTTGCACTTTAAAAAAAAAAAAATTCAACTTTCGGGTGGACTTGATTTTGTCGGAATCTTCGTCGAAAAATCGAGAGTCAAGTTTCGGACCTCTACAAATTGAATTTCGGCATCATTTTTTCCCAAACACCTCTAAATGATCGGAATAAAGTCAATAAATATATCTAAAACCTTAAAAATCATTTTTATGTATACTAAAAAAAAAAAAACAATAAAATCAATTCGATTTACCTCCTCTAATTGTTTAATGGCTTGAAACAATTATGGACAAACTCATCTCTCAAAGATTATATATATATATATATATATATATATATATATATATATATATATATATAATGGATTTTTATCGGTCAAAATGACCTAAATAAGCTTGACCGGCAATCTCTCTCTCTCCCCCTCCTTTCTCTCTACACCCGGGGATCAAAATTGATGAACAAATGAAAATATAAATCGAAATATTTATTTAAAAATATCATGGACCAAAATGTAAAAAGTTATATAATTTCACCTATTAAAATCTAAAAAAGCACAAAAAAAAAACCATCTATAGTAAACCGTGTCTAGAGCTACAATAAATGAACAGTGAAATGTTTATTTATTTTAGTTTTATAGAACATTAAGATTAATTTTTTCTCTTAAGAAACGCAATATATTAATTTCCAAATTAAAACATTCACAACAAGTTCATTCTAACACCCTCCGATTCGAGTAGAATCCAAGATATTAACGTGGGAGCAAAACCTATTTATGTATAGTACTACTTTTTTACACGTTGCCTGAGTGTCATGTCTTTGAGAGAAACTGAAAGATAAAAGTAAGAGAAGGGTTGGTGCCCTGCTACCACTATAACTATATTTAAGGTATTGCATGGCTTACTTTGCCCCACCACTTTCTGCTTTTATTTTTGCTGTCAGAATGGCTTTCCCTGATTTTTGCTTAGTCTAGCATTTTGTCATGATTTTTGTGTGACCGTGGCTGAATGTTTTAGGTTGGAAGTTGTAAAAGTTGCAATCAACCTTCATTTTCAGCTCTATGTGTGTGAGGGACACGCTATTCATGTTAGAGCTTGACACTACTAAAGGAAATGGAATGAGTGGGAAAGCAAAAAGAAGGTTGCTTACATGTATCAACACACCACTATCTTGGGTAAGTTTATAGTTTTGAATAAGGGGTCAATTAAAAAAAAAAGGTTAAAGTTGGTAGATGAAAAAAGATTAATTTGTATATGCTTAGCATTTCCACATCGTTACATACAAAAGCCCACATCACTCAAAAGCTTATTGAATTTGAAGCAATGTTACTTTACAGGAGCTCATCGCTCCACGGCCTTGTGCTGAAATTAAGATCTAGAGAGAGACGTGTTTTATGCTCAATTTATAAAGAATTACAATTAGAAATAGATATGAAAAAAATATTTTTTTTATTCATTTCTGATTTAAAAAACAAATTAGAAATAAATTTCAGTTCTTTCGCTATCATATATAAATTATTGTGGCCAATTACTTTGCATGGAGAAAATAGGTAAACTCATACTTAAATTGACCCTGGACCTACCAAGAAAATTCAGCGTGCCATGAGTTTCTCTCAATCCAGAGAGAACGTGTGTTTCAGCGCATGACCCTACACCTGTCAAGAAAAGCAAACTTTCCACTATAACATAAAGGTAAATTAGCCACGGGAAAAATTGTCGCTAAATTAAAAAGAACCATCGCCAAAACGAATTCACGATGTATTAGCGACGGTCACATGACCGTCGCTAATTGAGAAAATAATTTTTTTCAGCCAAAATAAAATGAGGTAAAAGTAACAATTTTAAAATAACCGAAATCTCATAAAATATCATAAACGTAAATTTTTATTATTCGAAATGTATTAAAACGTCGCTAAATAATTAAATAATTATTAAATAACAAAAAACGAGTATATAAGTTGCGGTTAATATAAGAAAACGTAAAAGATAAAATAAATTAATGTCCGGGATCGGTCGGAGGTTGAGTGAAGTCGTTTGGAAGGCTGGATTGCGTTGTCGTTGGTCTCGGGAACGGTGGATGAACTACCACCATGGTCAAAATGCCGCATGAACATCTGCTACATCCGTAACATCATCATATACTCGCTATCGACTAAAGTTCTCAACTCATTTTTTCGTATCCAACAACGATGCCACTCGGCTCTGTAAGCCGTTGACGATACCTTCTAAGTTATTGAAGTGTGTCGTATTTACGGATGTTTGCTCTTGTAATTCCTTCGAGTTGTGCCTCATCGGCTCCATTGAATCTCGAAGTAGCGAGAAGATGAGCCTACATTGACAATAGAATAATAGTGAGATGCATGTGACTCGAGTCCGTACATCCTCTTCCTCCTACTTATCTCCTCCGCCAACGACCCTCCGAAATATGTCATTAATGTCGGGTGTGGTCGATTCGATCCCTCCCGATCGTCGGCTAGCAACTTCTTCCTCATTAATTAATCTTTGTACGATCTCCTGTATAATTGTGAAATACATCATATTACATACGTATGTCAAATAACGTTATTAATCGACAAATATTAAATAATGTTTCAAAGTTATCACTTACTCGATAACCCTCGACCGTTGATCGACGAAGACTAACCGATCATCGACCTTTCTCCGATGAGTCCTTAAGAAAACCTCGTGAGGATTAGGTTCACGACCCAACATATTACGTCGAAAGCATATATAAATAAACTTAAACATATTAAATATAGTCAAATGTTTAATTAATTATTTTGGGTATTATTTTTTTAAAAATTATAAATAAATAAATATATATTTATTTATTTACCATGCGTATGGCGTGCTCTCTATGGCCGATTGATCCCCCGTACGTCTTGAAAGACCGGCTCCCACGCCACCAATCTCGCTCCTACGATTCCATGCTGCCATCTCGAATCGGGCAACGACCTCGGGTTTCATCCATTCCGTAGTCCATGCATCCCATATTTCCTGTGAGATAAATGCCGACTTCGATTTTTTCCTTAGACGACAAAGAAGGTCGAATATCACTTTCGTGCGAGACTTTCTCATGCTTTCTTAACTATGCTCTTGTTCAAATCATCATCCCACTTAAATGATTTTTGCAAAAAAATAATAATAAACATTACTAAATTTATTTACATATTATTTTGTGCTATTTAATTAAATATTAAATAATATAATCAAATAAAATTTAGAAATTAGTACCTTAAATTCTTCCGAGTAAAAGTCTTTTGTCTCTCGGACTCATTTTCTTCCACATTCATCCCGAAATATGAACATACTCCTAGAATGTCTTAACGATTGAGCGAGAGCAAACATCGGAGGGATACAACCTACAAAAAATAAATATTAATTAAATTAATAAATAACCGAGTACATAATAATGGTAATAAAAAAATATTTAATTAAATTAAGCATAAACCGTACTCATTGCGACCAACGACAATGACTCGTACTCGCTGGTCAATCACAGGTGTGATAGGTTTCGAAGTCGATTGACGCGGGACGTTGTGAGATGGAACGTGTTGAGGAATGGAACGGTTGTCCCGATGTGATGACGAAGGCACTAATGACGACGAAGGAAAAGATGAGGGAGGTCGACATGGAGGTTCATAATAAGGAAATGGCCGAGGTCGAGACATGTCGGGCATGGAACGGTATGTGGAGGGGCCACCGGAAGAGTGGTATGGAGGCATGTTCGGTGGGGGATCCATCCGACCATGAACGGAATGAGAATGGTGTCTACGTCCACGATCACCGTCGGACCGATCGGTATCTAAACCACGACCTCTACCTCGAGCCATTATGACCTATATATTAATTATTAAATTCAATAGTATTTAAATAAAATATTAATTATATAATGCATATATACTTACATATAACATTCAAAT